GGGTGTATGGAGCTGGCGAGACGTTCTGGGAAGTCCGTCGAGTCATAGATACATGTTTCAATCACAAGACAAGCCTGAGCCATTGCAAAATTATCAAAGAGGCCAAGATCCGCTGCAGCATTTAGCAGCTTTGCAGGTGTGCACTAGGACGTTTGTTCTGCGATGTTCTGTTGGGGGGGGCGGGTGACCCCCTGCGGGAACTAGTGGTATTATTTGGCTGCAGCGACTCAGGATGCAGTGGGCTTGCTGTTTGCACCGCCTCGGCTTCAGCTTCGAACAAGAGCTCCTCGCCTGATAAATGGTTTCGGGTTTAGGGGGAATGCAGCATCCTGAACTCAAAAACTCGTCGCTCCTGCACGCTGCCCTCTTCGCTGCCAATATTGGTGGCATACTGCCGCTGCTTCTGCTGCTCGACATTGCTCCACTTGGGGGGGGGGGCGTTGGGATAGGCGTGAGGTTGCAGACTGGATGCCCCCTCACCCCCTTCCCGGGTAAGCCCTGGAGCCCGTCCCCGAATCGTACCTCCCCGCGACAAGGTTCAAGGAGTCCAGACGAATGCTCCAAGCGAGAGCAGACGATGCACGTCTGGATAGCGGCACGCATGACCCCTACATCCGTGAGGTCGTTGTTTAAAACTGCATGCATCACTTTTTCAGTGCAGCCTAGCCAAGTTGCGTCAAGAAGCTGATGAAACCACTGATGAACAGGAAGGGATACGAAGTGGAGCGGTGACTTGCGTTTTTTCGTTCAGCCCATTGGACGGCTCAGGACCAAGCCGACGTTGGAAAAAGACCTTCTGGAGCTAGCTGTTCGGCACTTCCTGCCACAATGCACGGACCAACAAATCAAGGACATTCTTGAGTTGCGCAATTTCAGAAAATTGCCAGATTTGGTGACTTGGGCCAAATTGTGGATTTTTGCTTAGGCTGTAGGATGTTTGCTTTTGAGCCCCAAGTTTCTGAAACTACGTGGGCTCGGCATACTCACTTTGTGTTTGCAAGAATCTCAATGTAAGGTGGCAGCGGCAGTTTTTCTTTCCTTGTCCGAAATATTCTAGCTCTACTTTGCCGAGGTTTGGCCTTTGTTTTTGATGGGTGCCTGATTGCTAACGTTACCTCATAAAGGGTTCACCGGGTTTAACCACGAACCCTAGAAGCCCCAGACCCGGACTGTTTTGGCAATTTTTCAAGGCAACCGTTCTTGATGACTCTTGCGCCAAGATCGTTGAGAAGGACCTTGGAGATGCCGATTTGCAAGATCATGTCCAGCAAGCGAGCCAAGCCATCGACACGGCGTCGAAACTTATTGATGCCGCTTTGCGTACATACATGTGGTGTCAGTGAGGTTTCCTTGCGAAAAATGTAACCCTATATTATAGGTGGATTATAAGAATATGACTTGCCGATGGAGCCACGTATAGCGTGTTTCCAGCAAGCTGCAGCCAAGTTGATCCAGCGACACCCGGCACGCAATGCTCCGACACGCACCGCTCGCCAGCCAATACCTGACAAGGTCGAAACCATTGACCAGGCAAAGAAGTTCCTGCCGCAGATGGCATACTGCACTATTGCAGTCCATACGGATAGGTCTTGGGAGGTTAAATATCCCAGGGGAACACCGCCTCGGTCTCACTCTAAAAGCTATACCTGGTGAGTCGTTTCGGCGGAAATTTCAGCCGCTTTTGACAAAAGCGGTCTTTTGCATGGTTACGGCGGTTTTGCCCGGGCTCCGGCGGGATTGTCCGGGTTCCGGCGGATTTGACCAAGTTCATCTTGGTCACACTTTGATTAGCGCTCAATGCTGAAATTCTGCGCGCGGGACTACGTGTGGGTGGTCCACCTCCCTCTAGGCTTGGGATCTGATCGAACATTGTTCGGGTTGTTTCGCTTTCTGCGGCTCGGCGCCTCTGTATCTAATCAGGGTCTATGACAGGTAGATATTCCTGATTGTAGCACAAATTCGTGACGTTTAGCGGTTGCTCGCAGATATGTTCTCCTTGGGTCCTTGGCATGTTGCAGCGTGGAAGACGGAAAGAAGCGGCTAAGAAGATTTTAGCAGACAACAAACAGAATCCGAAAGATAGAAAGAAAAAGGCAACCTCCAAGCAGTAGAATGCACAACACCTGTAAGCTCCAGTCCCTCCGCACCACCGTCACAACAGTGCAAGGAAAACTGGAAGCTGAAACGTGCCAGAACTATGTGCATCAACGAGATTGATTGAGCTCTGCTTCTGGAGTCCAGGCTCCAAAGCCAAACTATACCTTTTGCTGCGAGATCATTTTGTTCGGGTTTCCTCTTTTTTTTTTTGCAAATCCGGTTCCGGCAGGTTTACCCGGGTCTCCGGCGGGTTTGCCCGGGTTTTCGGCGGGATTTCCCGGGTCTCTGGCGGATGTCCTGCCCACCTGGGCCTCCTCAAATTTCAGAGCCTCTTGCTTTGCCAGCCTGCGGCCGCGCGAAAGTCCCAGCAAACTGAGCCATGAAAGCTGGCCGTCAGCTGTCTGCCGGCACTCACACACGAATGTGAATTTAGATAGGGCGCAATGTTCGATGGATCGGCCACGTGTCTGCATGTTTTGAGTTCGTGATGATGCTGGCCCTTTGGTCATTGATTTGCGGGGATGAGAAGCGCTTGAGCGGTTCTCGGGGTTTGGCGATAATAAGGCCTGCGTTGAAGAAGTGTTTCGGGGTCGGCGCTCGGCATTTTGAGGCTGAGGCATGGAGCTGTCAACCGCTGAGGTTTCATCATTTGGTCTTCACGCTCCCGAAGTCTTTTGTACCAGTTTAATTTGTGCATGAGCTGTGTAACCTTGGGAGTTGCGCGCACGTTATTGTCCATAGTAAAGCGTGCATCATACCTGGAATGGGTGGAACTATCCGCGCGCTACGTGCATGATGTTCTGGATTCTAAGCAGCTCGGTTTCGGCAACTTTGAGAATTTCCGTCTGTTTTGATGATTACCGGCTGTTTCTGCAAAGTGCGGCTGAAATTTTGGTCTCGGAGCATTGCGGCGGAAATTCTTGCGGGAAGAGTTTCCAGGTATTCCTGGCGATGCAAAGTCGTCGCGCAAGGCTTTGATGCATGTCTTGCGCTGGGCTTGGGATGCCCACAAAGAGGCTACGAAGCAACAGTGTCCATGGCTGCTTGAGTGAAAACGTTCTCACTGTTCAGGGTGGTGTCACTTTCCCTTTAGCTTCAATTTCAGCACGAGCTTGAGCCCTAAGGCCCAGGCACAATAGGCCTTGAATCCTAGAGCCCAGGCCTGAACCCTCAAGGCCAGGCCTAATAGGCCCTGAACCCTAAAGCCCAGTCCCAGTACGCCCTGAGCCCTAAACTCTAAGCCCAGTACGCACTTATCCCTAAAGCCCTAGCCCAAGCCAGTATAAGCCCTGAACCCTAAAGCCCAAGCCCAGTATGCCTTCAGCGCAAAACTAGTGCCACTATTCTTGTCTTGTCCCCATGTAGTTGCCCGTAGGCTACCCATCTACAATTTGTATACCCATCTACAATTTGTATACGTGTCATGCTCATCACGTTTTTTGGGTAGGATGGTTCAGAAGGTGGTTGCTACAAGCTGACACTCCCCGAGACTTCTGAGGGTCCAAGCCTTCTGAAAAAGGAAGTCACTTCCAGAAGTTGCGCCTTCGTGCCCGCTTCTGGAAGTCTTCGACCTAGCGGTTGTAGACTTAGGGTCGTGTTAAACAGAACAGCAACGCGTATGCAAGCAGAAATAAGAAGTCACTTCCAGAAGTTGCGCCTGCGTGCCCGCTTCTGAATGCAACAAATCTCATAAGAGTACAACTGATAATGACATAGAGTAGCACTAGAAGCAGTAGTAGTAGTAGTAGTAGTAGTAGTAGTAGTAGTACGCGCTCGGCACTTATTTGACGCTGTGCTTTTGTGGGAGAAAGTAGTGGGAAAGTGTGGCAAGCGTTGCATTTCTGACAGCTGCAAG